AACCCATTTGGACCAGCGTATTTTGGATATATCCTAGCTCATTTTCTAGGGAGTCATATGTACAAATACGTCTTGCTCTATTCGTAAGGCATCTGACCAAATTGATTTTATATCGGATTGGTACAAAACTGAGGAAATGTGTATATTGTCCTACAGATGTAGGTTTTCTATAGACATATCTCTCTTGAGTGAACCATCCTCTCTTCTGCTCAATTGGACGTCAAGGAAATGTAATCCACCATCATGTTCTTCTTCATAAGTGAAGATGAGCGATGGATGTGCATCAATAAACTTTTTTAACATTTCATTCTTGTCAGTTTTCACATCGAGAATAATGAACGTATCATCAACATAACGAAAATAAGAATCAGTTTTCTCTATTACTTGTCTCAATGGACCATTTTCAATCTTGGCTAGAAAGAAATCTGCCAAAATTGGTCACAATGGGGAACCCATGGCAATACCGTCGATTTGCCTGTAGTAAAGGTTGTTGAATAAGAAATGTGCATTCATAGTACATCTTAAAAGCAACTCTTTCAGACTAATAACTGGAATTCCGATGTCAGTCTACCTTTCTAGTATCTGTTGGCATATGAAATCCACAGTCTCCATAAGTGGTACATTGGTAAACAGTGACGTTACATCTAAGGAAAGCATTTGCTTCCCATTTACATTGATATCATTCACGTTAGCAATAAATTCGAAAACATCTTTAACATGATGGTTTACTACCAATTTGTGTAGTGGTTGGAGGAGTTCACCTAGCCACTTTGCCACTCCATGGTAGGTAGAATTTGACAGATCCAGGACTGGGCGAAGAGGAAGTCCTGTTTTATGTATTTTGGGCAGACCGTACAGACGTGAAGTATTACTTCCAGTAGGTTTAAGACGGTTACAAGCTGCCTCTGAGATTACTCCACTATTACTCAGTTCCTTAAGCGTGTTAGTTAACTGCTTTTCAGCCTTTCCGTCCAGATCTATTGGATTGATAAGCTTTTGGAACTTCGTTTCATCCGTTAAAAGTGAGTTCATTTTGTCGACATAATCACACTTATTCATCAGCACTACCCCAGCTCTTTTATCAGGTCTACTGATTACAATTCTTTCGTCGTTCCTTGGCTTTCTTAGGGCTTCTCTATGCTGTTTAGTCAGCAAACTCTTACCAGGATGACTACTGTTTTTATACTGTTGACAACTGTCGACTAGTGTAGTTTTAAACCTAGAGACTTCATCGTCTGACGTAGGGGTCAAATCTTTTGTTTGTAGGAGGAGGTTTTCAAACTGGATGTTGGTATCGAGTTGGTTGACCTTATATCCTTGGTCACAAAATCTAAGACCCAATGATAGAGCTTCTATCTGTAATTTATCTAGTGTTACACTTGAAAAATTATGGACGTACCGATAAGGAACTGAGGGGAATGAAAGGAAATCCTTTTTCAGGATTCTGACTGTCTAATACAGTTTACAGTTTACAATTTATTTAGGATAGTAGGCTATATGCCTGTGTTAATCCTTTCTATTTGTTACAAACAGGAGGTCCAATCTCGCCTTGAATGAATCAACGGATGGCGCTGATACGACGTGTTCCGGTAGGGAGTTCCAATGGTTCACAATCCGATGCGAAAAACGGAACTCCAAACGCAGACGATTCGACCGTGGCTTTTGAACCTTGAGATGATGTCCTCGCAATTGGTTGGTGCTAGAAGGAAGAAATAAATTAGATAAATTAGCTCCAATATCATTTCTTAGGATACGGTATGCTAATATTAGGTCACCCCTAAGTCGTCTGTGTGACAGTAGAAATAAACCCAGTCGACTTAACCTCTCTTCATATGAGAGGGTTGAGAAACATTTTATTAGCTTAGTTCCTACTCTTTGCACCCTTTCTAATAAGTCTATTTCGTATTTGAAACACGGGCTTGCTGTCTGGATCCCATATTCCAAATGAGGTCTGATATAAGTCGGATATAATATACGAAATATTTCAGCGTCAAAATTCGCAAAAGCTTTGCGTCATAAAAGCTTTGGCCCATAATATTCGAAAACCCTTAGTGGCTGCAGCTCTACAATTTCTTACTGTTTTCAAGTCATGCTGCACAGCCACTCCCAAGTCCTTGTACTCAGTGACCACTGGGAGAGTAATGCCATTCATTGAGTAATTGTGCACGTGACTATGAGATACATGCATAACTACACTCTTGCTTAAGTTAATCTCCAAGGCCCAGTTCTTACACCAATCACTTAACAAGTTTAAATCTTCCTGCAAAGCAAGTTGATCACTGTCTTTCCTTTGAATTTGATGCTAGAACATAGTTGTAAATAGGAGTTATTCAATTATGTCCTTGTATATGGCATTCAGAGGACAGCGACGAAGGCGAAAATGGAGGTGAGTGTCTGGTGTTTTGTTGATTCACAGCATTCTTCCCAGCGTTGTTAAGATGTCATTTTCACCACGCTCGGGTATCACTCATTCACTCACTCACTCTCCTAATTCATCGCTCACTGAGAGGCACTCCGATTCACTCACTGACAATGTCTAACGTTGATGATTTCATCGATTGATTCATTTCATCTATATGCAGCAAAGTTGTTTGTGTTTCCTGTGAGTGAGTGAGTGAGTGATTGACTGGTCCAGTATATTGTAAATGTTCATGAAGTTACATCCGAAATTCCGCCTTCCGACTACACGCGATCCACAACACACGCATACACACCTCTACACGCTGCAATTCACATTACTCAACCAAGTCGATTTCATCTTTTCACAAAGGCAATCGCTATTGAACTCTGTCTCCACAACAAGATTTCCTCGCAACTGTTTCACCTGCATCAACCTATTAGCTAGATGGGAAGTAAATGTGATGATCGGTTTACATCGCCTTGTAGGTATTTGTGTGAGAGTTGAAATCAGGCTTACTCGTCATTGCTCTCCTCATCTTCATACAATCGTGCTTATCAATGATCGTGTGTTGCATGTGAGTCAGTAGAGATCCTGTGGAAGACATGCGAAATCAGTCGACGAATAACTCCGTGGAAAGAGAGAGAGCTGTATGGATGGATTTATGGAAAGATAGGCGTAAAACTGAGAGATGCATAGCTAGACCGAGAGATCCATAGTTACGTGGATAGATGGACAGAATAATAATGGGTTAGATATATGAATAAATGAGCAGACAGTTGGATGCACAGGTGGTCAAGCAGATATTTAAATGGATAGCCAGTTAGTTTCGTCGAAAATGGAGAGATAGACAGATAGATAATTAGACAGATAGACAGATAGATAGATAGATAGACTGATAGACAGGTGAAGAGATAGATAGATAGTTAGACAGATTGATGACAAGATAAAAAAGATAGATAGATAGATAAGAAGATAGATAGCTAGATAGGTAGATAGATGCAATGGCTTGTGTGTTGGTAGATAGTTGGTTGTAAAATGTACAGGTTCGCTTTTACGTCGGTAGTCAGATGCATCAATATTTGCTCGATGTGTATAGATGAATGCATCTGCAGATATGCAGACGGATAATTCTTTAGCCATACACACGAATTCATTCGACTGAGTTAACTGTAATCCAGAGTAATGGTAATGAATTTATTCGCAGTGTTGACCTGTGAATTTCAATGAACGCTGAAATGAAGTATGATTTCATTTGTATTTGATGAAAGAACTTCCTCGTGAATGCGGGTTTAGCAATTGTGTCTTTGTATATTGATTTCAGAGTACAGCGACGAAGGCGAAAATGGAGGTGAGTGTCTGGTGTTTTGTTGATTCACAGCATTCTTCCCAGCGTTGTTAAGATGTCATTTTCACCACGCTCGGGTATCACTTATTCACTCACTCACTCTCCTAATTCATCGCTCACTGAGAGGCACTCCGATTCACTCACTGACAATGTCTAACGTTGATGATTTCATCGATTGATTCATTTCATCTATATGCAGCAAAGTTGTTTGTGTTTCCTGTGAGTGAGTGAGTGAGTGATTGACTGGTCCAGTATATTGTAAATGTTCATGAAGTTACATCCGAAATTCCGCCTTCCGACTACACGCGATCCACAACACACGCATACACACCTCTACACGCTGCAATTCACATTACTCAACCAAGTCGATTTCATCTTTTCACAAAGGCAATCGCTATTGAACTCTGTCTCCACAACAAGATTTCCTCGCAACTGTTTCACCTGCATCAACCTATTAGCTAGATGGGAAGTAAATGTGATGATCGGTTTACATCGCCTTGTAGGTATTTGTGTGAGAGTTGAAATCAGGCTTACTCGTCATTGCTCTCCTCATCTTCATACAATCGTGCTTATCAATGATCGTGTGTTGCATGTGAGTCAGTAGAGATCCTGTGGAAGACATGCGAAATCAGTCGACGAATAACTCCGTGGAAAGAGAGGGAGCTGTATGGATGGATTTACGGAAAGATTGAATTTAATCTGATAGACGTATAAATAGACCGATCGATCCATATTTAGCTAGATCGGGGTATTGATTGATTGATTGTTAGATACATGGATATATTTGCAGACATTTAGATACATAGTTACTTATGCAGTTATTCTGGTGGATATCCAGTTAAGTAACTAGCTAGCTATCTAGATTCATAGATGGATTTATCGATACAAAAGTAGGTAGATAGTCTGATATGTGTTTAGATAGATAGATAGATATTTAGATGGATGGATGGATGTTAAGATGCATGGGTGCATAAATACGTGGTTACTTGGATATATCGTGAGATATTTTTATAGTTGAATATATGTATATATCTAAGTGTATTGGAAGATAAACAGACAGATAAATGAATAGCAATTCAAGCGGATTGCTTCGACTGTGTGAACTGCAGTCGAGAGTAATGGAAGTGAAATTAATCGTAGTGTAGATGAGTGCATTTCTATGAACGGTGATATCCAGTATGATTTCATTTGTATTTTCTGAAAGAACTTCCTCGCGAATCCAAGGTTATCTAATATATCTTCTTTTGATTTCAGACGACACAGTCAAAAACGATAGTGGAAGTGAGTCCCCGGTGCTCAGTTGATTAACAGCCTTCGTCACTGCCTTATTGAGATTTTATCTTCAACACGCTCAGGCATCATTCATTCACTCACTCACTCACTCAGTGAGATGCACTCCGATTCACTCACTGACAATGTCTAACGTTGATGATTTCATCGATTGATTCATTTCATCTATATGCAGCAAAGTTGTTTGTGTTTCCTGTGAGTGAGTGAGTGAGTGATTGACTGGTCCAGTATATTGTAAATGTTCATGAAGTTACATCCGAAATTCCGCCTTCCGACTACACGCGATCCACAACACACGCATACACACCTCTACACGCTGCAATTCACATTACTCAACCAAGTCGATTTCATCTTTTCACAAAGGCAATCGCTATTGAACTCTGTCTCCTCAACTAGATTTCATCACATCCGTTTTAGTTCAAAAGCCTATTTCTATCAATCTGTTTTTATTTCGTTTTATTTATATTTGTTGATTTTTTGTCTTTTATTCCTTCTATTTTGCTTTAATCACTGTTTACTTTCTTCTGTTTTGAAATTTTTTGTTTCCTTTTCTGTTGATTTATTCTCATTCCCCCCCCCCCACAATTACCCATCCTACTTGACCTGTTTTAATCTTTTGTAAAACTTCTCTTCCTTTTATCATATTCTTAGCGAATCTTTTTAGATTTTTCAACTTTTGCCTAGTTGTCACTGAGAATTTTTTATTAATTTTACTATTTTACATTCAGCGCTCCCTGAATTTTTGTATATTTTCGAAGAAATTCTTTCGTTTTCACAATGTTTTAAGTAATGGTACTACGCTTGTTGACGGGAGATGTGACAACAATCTGTTTGGATTTCTGTTGATTCTTTTCAGTTTGAATGCTTTTTGTATCACTTCACTCATGGCCTTTACATCTAAAGCGCTGTATACTTCGTTAAGTAATGTATCCCTACGTTACCACGATTGTCAACTTTAAATATGCTTGAAAGCATTTTGCGAATCGAGGACACTTGTGATTGGTTAGGACAATACGAATTAGCCACGTTTTTTTGAGTGGACTTTCAGTCAGTCCAGTGATTCATGCGAGCCAATACATTTGATGATCAGCATTTGTGCTGGTCCTTGTGAATTTTCCTCTTCATACTAACTTGTTGTTTTTCAGTCAGTGCAGCTTTCAGTTGTTTGTGATTGGTTTGCGTATTCTTAACAGAAACCACTTGAATCTCATTTCTCTTCCATTTTATTTCAAGGTGCTGCTGAAAAGCCTTTCTATAAATGTAAGCGTTTACTACAGTTTGTTACGGTGATGTCCTCTCCCATACAATAGGCTTTTTATTGGTAGACTATTATTAGCTGTTAGAGATGGTTTTGTTGATTATCTCTTCTCTGCTTTACAAAAGGCATGTTCCATCCTCACTGGTGTAGTGGATTGTCAACTTCATTTCTCCTTATCGAATTTTCAATCTGCTGCCGCTTTTTCAGCAAGGTTTCTTCTGTCACGTATTTTTGTTTTCGATTACAGTGAACTGACACAACACTTTGTGATGGCTGCCTCACCTTTTACTTGCGAGTGTAATGTACCTTAGCTTACAAATAACCGGTGGAGTTTCTGCATTTATGTGAATACTCGTTGTAGAGACATTCTTATGTATACAACTGACTTTCCATTGTTAGTATGAAGACTCGATTTCCGTCGGCCTAGAGGATACTTTGTAAACATTGTAGCCCACTGAAAATCATTTACTCCGGACATCATCTTTCCACTGTAGAAGAATCAATACCACCATGATTATTTTCAGAGGTGTAGGCATCTCCTGACGAAATTGACTTAGGTAGATCAGTTTAACTTCAAGGCAGTAAAATGCATAGTGAGATGAGTGTAACTTCTGATTAAGGAGATGTTTTCTGTTAGTTTGTGGACTTCAGAAATAGTTCAATCCTTCAATTATCTGATTTTCATGTATTGGTTTTTCTGGGGATTTTGTTTGATTTGTTAGACGATTTCATCATGAGCTAACATCAGCTAGAGAACCATTGGAAAACCTGGGTGTGTTGGACAGTTGTTTTATCCATTTTTGAGACTTTTCATCAGTACGGACCCACCGACAGAGTTCGAACCCAGCACCTTCCGGTTACAAGGCTGGTGAGCTCGTAAAAGATGAAGCCACTGGACCTCGTTCTAATGGCCCATGAATTATAACTTTTGCCATCTGTGTCACCACAACGTGTCCGTCGGTGGCACAGTTGATAGGACTCCCACCGACCATGCACATGGTTGTGGGTTCAACGCACACCTGATATCTATGGTCGGCCTGCAAAATGTGGGCTACCGATATCAAATGCTGTACCAAAATACTGTGGAATCAAGCTGTAATAAAAAAATGTCTGCTTCGATGAGTTATTGCCTCATTTTCAACCTGCTGTAACCTACTGGTCACAGCTTTCCACTAGAACCACAGGTAACTGCCTGAATAGTGTAGTTAACTCACCAATTTTCTGATTTCTTATATCACGTCTTCAGCAAGAAGCAATCGTTCCTCATCCTGATTCATCATACCAAAGGATATAATTTTTGTGTGAATGTTTGACTTGGTAAATTATTTACAGTTAATTATATAGCACGAGGGAAATCTTTTTTCTATATTTTAGATGATAAGCAACATTCATTAATGAAATACGCAGATTCATATCGTGATGTTCTGAGTTATAAATGTATGTGTTATATTCACCAAAAATTATTTTATGGTTGTCTCTTCCCCTTAGACTCTTCTTTGACACTCAGTGTTCACTTCCTCTTACTACTCCTACCGCTTGCCATGATTTTTAGATAGTTAATCAGTATATCCAGTCACTGTAGATATTGAGTAGCCATTAAAATCTCTTTTGCAAATGCACATTTCCGTAGAAATTCGAGGATATATATTTCTCACATCAGAAGATGCATGTAATGTCACCTGAATGTAACAACTTGCAAATAATTATTGTGAAGTAGAGCGGGAAAGTGGTAACTTTACGCAAGAGGTAGTGTCTCATCTATTTCAGGAAGCTTGGTAATCCTTAGGAGAACAATTTGTATACAGACGGATGTTACAGATTGAGATGAGTTGAATAGCAGTATTGTAGGTGAGACTGAGAGGCCTAACCATTCAGTACTGGTTACCAGCAGATCATGCGAGAAATAGATACATTTACCTGGAGATGTGTCGGTAATGCACGGAATACAGTTACTACATGAATAATTAGTTGCACAAAGACAGTGAACCTGATTTCATGTTGCGCAAAGGTCGACATTAATTCTGTCAGAACCTTTAGTCAACAATTAAATAATCCACATACTTCACACATATTTCCACCCTTTTGTATGTTTTAGTTCTCATGGCTGAAATTCAAACATACGAAAATCCTCAGAATGGAGAAGAAACAATAAGACGTGGTGAGTAATTTTATCAAGATCTCTACATGGCCGCATGTAAATATAAGCCATAAATATATGATGAGGCCTTTTTTCAATCAGTAGGTTTTGTTATTTCATGCAATTTGTGGCATTACTTATTCTTATGAATTGAAAATGAACACTTGTGGTCCTTTTGAGGATGAATAAGTATCTCGTTTGTTTGCAATCAAGTGACAAAGATGAAATTTACCTCCTGGTCTATGTATGATAGCATCTATGGTACCAGAACAACTTTGAATGATTCTAATGGTTGAAATAATGCCAGCACGAAACACTTTTCATCAAAAGAGACCTATTCACCTTCATAACTTTGCTGCTGAGTGAAATGTCATCCCTGTCTGGTGATTTGAAGAACATCACTGAAATCAATGAACTCACTTGTGGGTGCAGTGGAAGATTCTTTATTTGAACTGAATAATGGTGGTAGCTATTAAGGCTGGAAAAGTAGTCTGGGGTTCAGTGTTGTCTTCTGCTCTCTTAGCCACTCTCAGCCTCTTTTTCAGATAACTATTATTGTTACCCTCCAGAGTTTCGACTTGAAAATAATACCTCAACTGCACATCCCCATACTATCTTTCTCTCTACAGTCCTTTGTCGCTGCCTCAACCACTGTCAACTTACCTCCCATTCTCACCCACATAATCTCCACAATGTCACTGTCATATCACCGATCACCTCCACATTTCCCGTTTACATTCCTCTGAACGGAGTGGCATGTGATATTGGTCAGCGGTCTCCTCAACGCTTATACAATCCACATTCATTTCGATTTACATTTATTTGAGCGGTGGGTTCATGATTGGTTTGTCGTAAGACTTCATTGTTTCTATTGTTTTCTGGCTTCTTTTCCTTTAGTGCTAGAGCACTAAAGTCAAGTGTTGGCAAAAGTCTGCAGCTGACTGTTCTAAACCCTTTTGTAAACATGATAAGCCTGCGAATCATGTAGAAGCATTGTTTTAACGTCAGCATTGAGGATCCAGATTTTGTTCCTTATAATGAGTGGAATAAACTCGCCTACTGATTTGAAAGCAGTGAAATTCTGTCCTGTTTTTACGACCTAAGCTGACTGAGTCCTCCTCACTCTTGCCGCCCCGTGTAGTTGGAACGATGCTGTCCAGATAAGTAAGAGAAATGACTTCCCTTCCACTTCTGCTAATGCTGTTAGTTGGTTGTGCGCATGACCTCTATTATATCTATGCTCACCTGAAGACGTGTCTCCACCGGTTTATTCTTCCGCCAACGTGTTTGTCTTCACCTCCATATCTTCGAGTTTATGTGATATTAGACATAAACCTTCGACGAAGTTCAAACCTTCCTGAGTCTGTTTATTGCAGCAACGAATGACTATCCTGTTGTTGCTCAAGGACTTTTACACTATCCATTCGACCACAACTGACAGTATCGTCAGCAATCAGCTTTACTTGGATTTTCATCGGGCATCTCTTGACATTTGCTATCTTCAGCTAGGTGTTTGGAAAACTGCACTCCGCAATTTTAAATGCTGTTATAGGTATTTTGAAAGCCGACGAAGTTCAGGTTGATATTTAATTTCAATCATGTGCTCTCTTCGATGATGAGGCGAAGCGTTGCAATTTGATCCATAAATGAATCACTTTTCCTGAATCAAGCTCGTTTCTCAGCAACATTCAGTCCCTTAAGGATGACACGAGAAAAGTTTTCTTCTTCGATTGATAAGAAGCATGATTCTCATCCAGTACGTGCGGGGGCTTAAGTCACCTTTCTTTTATAGTTTGATAAGTTTTCCAATCCTTCTGATCAGCATGCAACTTCCCGGCACCAGTGGCATCAGTCCGATAACGAGATTTCAGAGGAGTTCCATCTGGTTCTGCTTCCTTTGCGGTATCGAAACGTCAGCCTTTGTTCGGGGATTAGTGCTCACCGCGAGATATGTGCCAACTGTTGATGGTATTTCTGCACGATTTTGCGAGTGGTGGTCTATTTAGGAGTTTTCAACGTTGCTCTTGTTTTGTAAGCAATGTCCCTTCACTATGCCCATTGGTTTCATCTAAGCTCCTGACGTGTTAAAGTGATGTAGTATTCTTAGATCTTCCTTCTATGTTACAAATTCTGATTCACGTGTCAATGTGTCGCGTCTGATCCTCTTCTTGATTTGATTTCCTTCA